AAGGGAAGGGAAGGGAAGGGAAGGGAAGGGAAGGGAAGGGAAGGGAAGGGAAGGGACCACCGAAGCAGCAGGGCACCCGTGAGGCAGGCTGCCAGCACACTCTCCTCCTGCAAGGAGGGGGAAAAACAGGCTCTGTACCTAGAAATGGCTCCTCAGATCGGGGTCGTGGGAGCTGCTGCTCTGGGGCCAGAGTGGGTCTGCCTGCATGGAGGAGAGGCCAGCCTCCCCCACCCCAACCCGCCACAGCAGGCCAGCAAAGCTTGCGAGGGAAAAGCCAAAAAGGCTGATAGAGCATGGGGCAGCAAACACTCTCAGGGGGATCCCCTTCCTGGAATTCCTGGACCACGAGCATGTCCTGCCCTCCGGTCCTTCTGAAAAACGTCTGCTTCCCAACTCTTGCACTCCGACGGACGTCAAAGCCTCTAACCCGTTCCAAAGGGCACCACAAGCACAGCCAGGTCAGATTTAGGCAGGAGAGCTGCTGCTCTGGTGGTTGACCTTTACTCTCAGTCTCAGTCCGGCTCAAGCGGCTTGAGGACGTTTACCACAATACCGCTGACCAAATGCCCTCTAACTTCGGTTCGCTCATTTCTTATTAACTTTCAAGGATTCCACCGGTAGGTTTGGGGAGCAGTTAACACAGTGGGTTCCTGTTGGCTTCATTCAAAGAGATGCTTGACCCAAGTACTCAAAACCACTGTGCTCAGTTACAGATATACTCTTCTTGAGCCAATTACTTGAGAGAGAGCTGGTGGCCTCAAAATCAAGTGTTTCTCATTGGTTCCTAGGACCCTGAAAGCAGCCCAGCTTGAGTTCAGATCTGGCTCGGAGACAGTTTAGTGCTGAATTTTCCTGGTGGCTCCCTTTTATTGGTTTCTGATACTATCAATGGATATCTATCAATGGATACTATCACAAAAACTTAGGCTTTTTAATAATATTTGTTAATGGAAAAGGTGTGATCAGATTCCTTCTGGATTTTTGGCTACCGCTGGCTCTCCTCCTACAATGTTTATCAGTCATAGGATCTTTCTAGACTAGCTTTATGCGTTTGGAGGTTGAAAGTACTGGCTTGAAGTGGCTCTGCTTCTACCTCCCAGGTCACCCCCAGAGGATAGTGTTGCAGGATTGGATCTCAGCCACTACAATTAAGGTACGGGTACCTGAGTCACGTCTAGCTCTGCATGGCAGGCAGAGATGCCTGTATGCAATGGTGGAGAGTCAGGGTTTTCTTGAGGGGAAAGAAACTGAGTGGAACCATAGGGAGGCTGAGGACAATGGCTGCCAGTTCCGGAGAAAAGGGTTGAGTAATTTACCACTTCTGGAGTGGGTCACATTCTTTTGGCAGGAACAGGAGGGAAGGTCAGCATTATGAATCACCAACGCTCACAATTTGTGCCAGCCTAGATGCCAGGCAGCATCCCTCAGGCATGAGTTTGGGCACATACGCTTGGGAGATTCCCTCAACTTCTCCTCTGCTAGACAGAGAAAGTTTTGTTCTTTTAAAAAGCAAAGGCAGAATGCTGGGCACATGAAAGAGGACATTTCTTTGCCTGAACTGGGACTAATAATTGGCTGAAATTCTCCAAGAAAGCCAGAGGAGGTCCAGGGACAAAGAAGCAGAAAATTCTCCTTTGGGAGTCTGCTTATTTCTGGGGAGTAAGTAACTGTTCTGGTTAGATATTGCATTAAGCTGAATGTCTTGTCTGTATTCAAAAATTTGTTCTCTTATTCCTACTTCTCTGCATAATTAGGACATTCTAATTTCAGACAAAGTTCAAGTTTTACATTTTTCTTTGATCTCTTGGCATCTAATATGTAAAACACAATCCCCGCCCCCCTCTCTCCCGAGATCCCTAATTATAGTGAACCAAGACCATCTTGTGGTCTACCCAGAGCACTGCATATAATTTCGTAAACTGGGTTTTATCTATCTTATTTTTAAAGTGACTGGGCTTTTTAAACTCTTGCAAGAGTGGGGAGGAAGGATTGAAACTACTGGTCACCTTACTTCATTTTCTCTGTTTTTACCTTTTATTCTCCAGAAGGGCAGGACGGGATGTGAGCACCCCATCTCTTTTGCTGACAGGGGTCAGGAGGGAACGGCTGATGAGGCGCCCCCCAGAAGAGAGGGGGTGGCAGCAGTAACCACCAGGTAGCTGCGCCAGGGCCTGAGATAAGCCGGGGCCTGAAGAGTCAGTGGGCTTCGGGCACTTCACCCTGTGGGCCCAGACCTGCCCCAACAGCCTGTCCCTCGGGATGCGCCTTCTTAGATTTGAGGGTTGGACCGGTCTCGCTTTTTAAATTGATAGGACCCTGCTTGGGAGATCGGGCTGCCTGAAGGACTGATTTTATCTAGAGAAGATGCAGAAAGGTGCTGGGAACAGCAGCGAACCTGCACCCCTAGCTCCCTCTCCTTGCTTATGCCACAAGAACCTCCCCAGGAAAGAACCCGGTAACATGCACCAGCAACCATCCGGGCCTTTTTGCACTGCAGAATTAAACACCAGCCAAGCAGCAGCAGCAGCAGCAGCAGCAGCAGCAGCGCTTCCTACCTGCACCGCAGCATTTCCTGACCTCTCTCAAGAATGTCTGTGTCTGGGAGCCAAAAGGTAGCTGCACAAGCAAGTTGGCATCAGGCGAGACAATTTGGAAGGTTACATCTGATCCTGTGTGTGAACAATGCAAGAGAAGAGTAGCCTTTCTGTATGCTGAGCAAGGTGACTCTTCCACGGATATGCCCTCCATCCCAGCCATGTCAGCATTCAACGGAGCTCTCCTTCAGGGCCCCGAGTCATTCCAGGCCAGCTTGATCCAGCCAGACCCTTTGCTCCACCAGGAATGAGCAGGAGAGGCCCGCCGGCTCTGATCCAGCTCAGCTGGAGCTTCTCTGAGCAAGCAAGAGGGAGGCAGAATAGGAACAGGGCAGCTGGCAGGAAGAGAGGGGAGTAACTGTCTAGAAGAGGAGCGGGGTGGGGGTCCCCAGAACAGCTCTTGCCTGGGGTGAGTGACTGAGTGGCCAACTCTACTGGGAAGCTGCAGGAGGAAGAGATGTAGACCGTTTGCAGAAGAACAGAACAGAGAGGAGGAAGGGAAGTTGGGCGGCAAAGGTCAAGGACACTTCTAGGGGAGACATCTAACAAATTTCCCCTCAGTTGACTGAGGTTGTAGCCTGAGAAGGAGCAGGAAAGAAATGCCTTCCGCTAACGTTGCCTTGAGAAAGAGAAACCACGGTCTGAACAGACAAGGCAAAGCACCAGGACCAACAGTGCTCATGGCACGCTTGAGCTCCTGCTGAGAATACTCTGGTGTACATTTCTACAACTACAATCTCTGAATTCAAAACCGGCCTTGAGGCCATCAAAGGAGAGGGATGCACAGCCGTTAGGAAAGAGAGGGACCTTGCACCAGCTCCCTGCAAAAAGACCAAGGGGAGAGTTTGGACCTTGGCAGTGTACAACGAGAAACAAAACAAACCTGTATAGACCAGCCCTGTTACCTCCCAGAATGGCTTGTCCCCTGCAGTTAGGGGCCCCTCCCCACTTGCACCTCATCATGGCAGAAATGTGCCCCAGATCCATTCGTGACAGAACTTTCCCAACTAGACTTCTAGGAAATAGCAAGGCAGGAGAGCAGGAATGAATCAAATGCAAACGTGCCACCACTGTCCGTGCGCAGGAGGGGAGGAAACAGAGAAGCAGAGGTCCCCGTGAGGGTGGTACTTGGTAAGTGCGCTCAGCTTTTAAAGGGTGCCTAGATATACATTCAGTACTCTCTCTCCTATCCAGGGTCTATTATGGCTGCCATTTCAGGATGACAATAGCCATTTTGTTCCTATCCATGTTCATGGAAGTCTCTGATGGGTGATGGGTACCCTATTTTAAGAATGACCTGGATCAAGTGGAGCATGTCCAAAGCAAGCAAGATAAAGAGACCAAAAGAAAAAATTAAGAGGAACGGAGGTGCTGGGTAAGTTAACCTGGGGAAGAGAAGAAGTGGCGGCTACAGGGAGATGTGACAGTTGTCTTCATGCATCTGAAGGGCTGAAAAGATGCAGCGGAACTGTTCAGAGTTGCTCCAGAAGATAGGACAAGGAACAAAGGCATTAATTACAATAAGTAGATTTTGGTTGGACATCAGGAACAATTTTCTAATGCTAGGGGTTGTTCAACACTGGAACAGGAGACAATGGACTTTCCTTTGCTGGAGATGTTACAGCAGAAGCTGGTCAGGGATGCTGCAATGGCCAGCCAGCTTTTGCTGTAACATCTCCCGCAAAGGAAGTTCCTGCACTAGAGAGGTTGAATTAGATGATCTAATCATGGGATGTAACTGTTTCATTTTATTCTACTTTGTTCAGGCCCCAGCCTTGAGAACTGTGTCCAGGTCCGAGCACCACACTTTAAGAAGATTTTGGAGAAACTGGAACTGGTTCACAGAAGAACTATAAAGATGATCAGAAAAGTAGACTCAGGGATGAAATGATAAACACTTCAATTTATCTGAAAGGAAATCACACAGAAGGTCAAGATTTATTCTCATTCCACACTGGAACAGGATATACACAAGTAAGTTGCAGGAAGGCAGTTTTCAATGGAACATTAGAAAAAATGTAATAATAGAAGGAATACATTTGGCAGGAAACTGACTACCCAAAGAGATGGTGGGTTCTAATTCATCAAAATGTTCAAGTATAGGCTGGACAGCCATCAGTGGTGGAGCAAAGGGCTGGGCTTGATGACTTAAATGATGCCTCCAAATCCTGGGATTTTATGATCTGTAGAGCTAAAGCTAGAAACAGAAACTCACCATCATCAGCCTCTTGTGCACTGCGAATAAAAATGACATACCAATGTGACAGAGTAATAATTTATTGTATTCTTTGTCTCTGTGTGCCTTAAGCTTTCCAGGAAATACTGAAGAGTCATACCGTATGTGTCTATGTACATTAAATGATCAAGATAAAAATGGTCCTCTGAATTATTAATGAATAAACTGATTCTATCCCTTGTGGGTACAGTGATGAGGCAAGAAAAAGAGGCTGGTGAAGTTTAGAGGGGTCTCTCCCTTCAAGGAGGGGGCTTCCCCCTGCTACTTCCGAGTCTCTTGCCTCTTTTCTCTTGATTCTCAGAAGCAGATTTTTCTGCACAGAATAGACCTCTGCACATTGGTGACTCAGGCCCCACAGGCTGGTTTTCTTGGATGCAGAATTTGGAGATGGGGGATGATTTTTATTCTGGTGCACAACTGAGACTCACAGTAATGCCCTTCTCGCAAGAGAGGGAGGTGGAAAGGGGGTTGCAGAAAGGGGTGAAACAGTTTCCATTTGCAAAAGCTTCAGCAGGAGGCAGCGTGCTTACCTAGGGTGGGCAGCCCCGTCTCTGGAACAACTGTCACGAGAAAGAGAAGTGTTAGCCTGGACTGGCTGCTGTTAGTGGAGGTGCCACAAGTGTGCCCCCTCCCCAGCGCTGATCACTGATGAGTAAGAGACAAGCCTGTGTGGCAACAACTGATGTTGTCCTTGGTCTGTGGGGAGCCGGCTGTCTGGATTCATACAAGGTGCCTAACCAAGCCAGGGAAAACTGTAGCGGTGGTATTTGCACGATCTGCTACCTTGGTTCAGTTTGGCGGGCTTGGCATGTTGCTCTTTAGTTAGTTTTTGGTTCAGTGTATTCTGCAAACCCGGAACCTGGATTAATTTGGTAACCGGCTAAGGGTGTCATGTCAATTTAGCCTCTGAGTTGGACTGGTTCAGGCTCCTCTCTGTAGGTGGAAAACGGATCGTTTCCAAATGGGCCACAATCAAGGAGAGGAGCAAGCAGGAGGGATCGAAGCCCCCCACGGTACCTTCTTCCAGCGCAAAGCCCTCGTCCATCGGCAGCACCCGCTCCAGGCACACGTCCTCGGCGGCAATAGCCATTCGGCGGTGGGTGTAGAGGCAGAGCCTGCGGGCGCAGAGCAAAGAGAGCACCTCTCCGGTGAGCCCGCCCACACCCCGC